GAGGGATGGGAACCTTTGGAATTGACTCATACATAACACATCAAAGCTGTTGATAGAATATGATTTGTTAATGACCCAAAAAAYAATAACCCACATGTTTCAACACATACAAATGTCCTAGGGAACGGGTAATTGAAAAGCAAAAATGTCTTTCCGCTGGCCGTTTTTGGCCGCTCTAGTAGTGAAAGGGTTAATAAATGAAGGTAAATTTCACCTATGTTTACCAAAAAAAAAAAAAAAAAAAAGGGGTTCAAAAAAGGTTTGTTAACATAAAAAAGCTGGCTTCGAATGTAATAACTGTTGGCTTCAAATGCAATAAATATAGCGTATTTAATAGGCTAAGCAACAAAGACAGCAAACACAATCTAAGCTCCAAATAATACTAAATTCAAAATTCTAATTAAAACTTACTTTAGACTAACTTGGACGTTCAAAGTATGTAAAGATATAATCTCTACTCCGTCTATATTCTCTAATATTTTAGCTTTTACTTCTTTAATCTCAGCTTCAATGTATTCTTGCGTTTCCTTGTCGAAGCCGGTCGCCATGTTTAAATTTCCAGCCTATCTGAGCCCGCAGTATTCAGCGTTTGTATTACCCAGCATTCTTTTAGAAAGACTTTTATGAAGTTTGTCCACAGGATGCCCAAGCAATGTTTTTTTAAAGGAAAGTTTGTGAAATAATATAAGTAAGCTTACCAATTTTTGCCCGTTTGTTTTTGTTGCCACTCTTTGCCTCTGTGCGCAATTTGGAGTCAATCCGACGAGTTTTAGCCTTTTTACGGGCCTAACAATATAAATAATGACAAGGACGGCCTCGGATTCTTTCATTGCTTTTTGTAAGAAAAAAATTAATCGTAACACAATCGAATATCTTTTGTTTGTAATTATAATAATTTTTTTTTTTTCTTTTCTTTTCTCTTTCTTGTCACATTTTGTATTTGATTCAAGTAGYCAATGGTAAATTATCTATACATAGCGAGATTTACGATTATGTAATTATGTATAATTATGTATTACCATCCACACAACGCCCGATTCACACCGTATTCAAAAAATTCCACTCTGTAGACCGTATTTAAAAAGATGCGGATTCGTGGTCTACCGTATTCAATGGACGGAAGGCCAATTGGCAGCAAAAAAGTTGCTGTATTTTTGTTCAAAAATATCCTGATACGTGTGGACGGGGCCTAAATTCGCTTGCAATCCTTTTCACTACGGACCATTTTTTCCCACAAAAAGCAAATCCGATGAAAACTTCACTCCGCAGATCAATAAAGATATCGCAATCTCACGATACTGAGCCTTGATACCTTCTAATGYTTTTCAAAATTGCTACGAAAACGCCCGTTTATTCGTGATGACAAAGGCTCAAAAAGAAGAGCCATTGGATGCGCCGGTTGTGCCTGGAAACTATTAAAAAGTTAAATCTTATTGCAAATACTTAAGAAACACAAGAAAGAGGATTATTATTATTAGAAACTATTAAAAAGTTAAATCTTATTGTAAATAGTTCAGACACACAAGAAAGAAGATTATTATTACTACAGTGTAAGGACTATGTCAACTTGTTGCTCATTTGGAAAATTCCGAAACAATTGTCTCTGAAGATCAGTTACCCTGCCGACCCTTTTATTATTGAAATACATGTATATATCGTTGTTGAATCCACATATTTTCGATCAGAAGCTTYATTTTTCAGTAAACGTGTCCATAAATGGTAATTTTTAGCCAAGATATTCATTTATTAAATTGAGTCGCCAAAGAAAATAACAAATAGGTTTAATAAGGATGACGTTACACTCACCCTAGAAACTGCGCGCGATAACAGCTCAGTAGTAATAATAATTATTAGTAGTATAAYTTTAGACTTGAATATAGCGGTTTCTCGAGCTGTGAATGGTCGAGCGACCGCGCAGTGATTATTCTGAGACGATGAACATCACCGCAGGAGCGATGGAACAGTTATTTATAGCAAAAGGCTATTTATGGCAATATGACTTTGTGGAGTTGAGTTTGTTTATTCTGATTATGATTAGAGCCAGAATTGGACGATACAAAGTCCTTTTACAATTAATCATAAATATTATTACTTCCGAGAAAAATATTTTTAACGATAAATAATGACCAGTAAAGTTTTTTGGCTGAAAAGGGTGAAAAGTTAGTGACAAATCTCAGGAGTACACGCTCGATCATGGTATAGCAATTGCGCGATAGCACGAATATTCTACTAAAAAGGTGTAATAAATGTGATTGGCTCTTATATATCAAAAAAGAGGAGAGAAATGAAAAGACAATAAGAAAGTAAGTGACTAAAGACAAAAAAAGAAATTGAAAACGATCATCAACAAAGAGGAGAAACAGAGAAAATAAAATTGCAGTAATGTTTTAACGGATTATAGTAACTCTTTGCGGCTCTAGATAAATCAATGTGGTCTACTAACGACTAACAAAAAATAGAGCAAAGCTTTGCCGGGATTATTTCATATTTAATAGTATTATATATAGATATATATGAAGCTTAAATTAATCCCCGAARAAGTTCATTTTCGTTTAAATACTGAAAACTTAAACGAAAGTGCTCCGTGTATAGACCAAAGACTTCAAAGACAAATAAACTGAACGGCTTTTAATAACTTTTTCAATGAATTTACAATTTTATTATTATTTTATTATTATTGTTGTTGTTATTATTATATTATTATTATTATTATTATTACTATTATTATCCTATTGTATCACAGGATAATTTCTATTACATGATTTMTATTTACATGGTACATATAGTTCATCAATTGATCAGTATTAATTTTCAGTATAACATGCAATAAGAAAATTGACAGCATTTCGCAGCTGCTGATTTTTTAATAATCCAGYTATTATAATCAATCATTGTTGTGTGGAGCTGAGTCAGGAAAAWCTTAGCTTAACATAGAGTTTTAACTTATCATTATTTCAACTAAAAATCTTGTGTCTATGGTGAACCTAATAAGCGGTCAAATGTTTTAGGCACTCGTCTTCCTAGAGGTCATGACTCAATTGTTGGCCTTAATTGGAAAAATCTGGCCCAGGGTGGGCCGTACATTAGTGCAGAAACTACAAACACTCGCAAATACTTCTCGATCCAAGAATTGATAGACTTTGAACAAAACCAGTAATTAAGACCTTTATTAGTGCTAAAAGAGTGGCTTGTGACCATTCTTAAGGACAATAGACGATCGTGTTGTTTCTTCTGTCGATCAATGAGCACGACTACAAGTAATTTTGAAACAAAAGATGGTTTAAAAAACAGCAAATTGAAAATGAATTCTTCAAAATTAATCCAGTTCTCAATTCAAGTAGGCTTTATACATCAATGGAGGAAGGACAAGGGGGAATTTTTATAAGAAACATTTTCCGGGAATTCCTTATTTTGTGTAAAAAACGATCCACGTTGCCAGGTTCAACAGGTGTGAAGCGTCGGGGATGCCACGCATGCGTATACCATTTTTCATGGTCAATCAATTAATAATRGATTTCTGGTGTCAAAAACAAATTTTCAGCAGATGTCAAATACAATTAGAGGCCTTAGGTAGATAGCAAGAAAAATCTATTGCGCTATCACAAGTTAAGACTTTTAAATTCGCAGCAATTTGTTGTGTCTAGCACTATAGAACTCTTATTGGAGAAGCAGTTTTCGTCTTCRATTTCTTATCTGTAATACGAGTCTCCCTAAATCGGGCCGTCGCTATAAATCTATAAGAAGATAACATACCAACCACAACTGATTGAATCTCGATCCTCAGGAATTAGGATAGCCGTAAAAAATCTGATAAAAGGTTTTTTTTTTTTTTTTTTTTGCTACCGAATTATTCAGTGTCGTTTGGATTTTGTTTCGGTGCTTGTGTSGGATGTAGTAATTTAACGAAAGCTGAATGAAGTTTCGCCCAAATATTTAATACCTACACCATTGAACAGTCATTGATAGAGGCTAAATTGTGCAAATCTARTAAGGTTTGGCACACGTCGTAGTGTATTGAAGATCACATTCCTTTTTGTCTATTATTTTAGGTTGCCAAAGCTTTATTTAACTTTGTAATTAAACTATTCTTAGTTTTGAGTCTAAATGGAACAAAGAGTTTTGTAAAGACGATGTGTATACATATATATTTATCTAAATATGTATGGGTGTTCTTACGGTTTTACCATGAATTGTGAGAGTTATTTTATAAAAGAAAGATACAAAATCTTTGTACGTAAGATTAGGGATGCTTTGAGATGGCATTTTAATAACGAAAAAAAAACCTACACGGGATTGTTTCTGCCCGGCTCTAGTCCATCAAACGATTTTTTATTCTATCATGAAAATGTTCATTGTTCTTCAAAAGCCAATGAAATGTGAGCATTTGCCAAGGCCTGGTCCAGTACATTAGCACTTTAGCCTATCGTAATATTCTGATATAAATGCCAAGTTATTTGGGCTGCCGAAAGAGTTAAATCAAACAGCTCAGCCATCGCAACAACAAACCAAGACTCAAGGTTGTAGCYTCAATCAATACGATGAGTATAAAAGACATCGAAAAAAGTTCGGCTTTTACGATTCCAACAGCTACAACTATACGCTTTTCACAAATGAGCGAAGAGGAAAATRCAGAGGGTTCCAGAATGACTAATAAATACCCTCTTTTGGCACCTGTTTTAACCCAAACCAGAAGACGGAGGGCGGTTAGCACTGTCAAACAAAAAGAACCTGCCGTAGTCGCTCGTCGAAATGCCCGAGAACGAAAGAGAGTAAAGCTTGTTAATGACGGATTCGTACGGCTACGAAAACATGTGCCTACAGACCCAAAGAATAAAAAATTATCGAAAGTTAAAACGCTGCGAAGCGCCATCGAATATATCCGTCATCTTCAACATCTGCTTAGTCAAGCGAATAAACACCAGATATGTACTGAATCCGACCTGGATACAGCTGCTGGAAGCTCATCGATTGAGTGGATCGCCACCGACCTCGTAAGTACCGAAATTTTCCCACCATTCTAAGATGAATTCGATAGTGGCATCAAACGCGTATTGCACAAAGAATGCTCCAAAACTGAGTCAGTATTCGGAATTCTCTTTTTCCTTTTCATCGTGATCAAACCTCTTTTTAGTYTTTTATCGCTGCACTTGTGGAAATCATGTTATTTCGCTTTGACGCTTCGATCTTGTTTTTGTCTTGTGGTAGAAGGTTATGTGTTTTGTTTTTGAAGATCGTCTCTCGCTGCGTAGCTAAGCAGACTTCTTATTGCGGCCAAGAGAAACTCGTAAATAGCAAGGTTCCTTTGACAATCGCTAAGGACTCACTTGCGCGCCAAAGCAAGGCCTTAGTTTAAATACCCTTATTTTTTCGATTCCTAATTTCAAATTTGTATAAATCTAAATCTGCCTGATACTATTTGCGTTAAAAATATTAAAGCAATATATTGCTTTTGATCGGTAGAAAGGTACAAAAGGAGGAAGTCAAAGCGAAATGAAAGATTCATTTCATATTCAATCTTTAATACACTGGGAGAGCTGTTAAAACAAATTTAGTGATGTTTTACAGTTCAAGAATGGCGAAAAGATTCCGACTTTAAGTACTATGCATTTGGAAAGCAGAATGGCTTCCTTGCTATTAGCCAAGGAGCTGTCAGATTAAACTAATTCGTTTGAATATGCGATTTAATATTTTTTTCATCTTTTTCCGGTCAAAATGAACTGTTCTTTATATGTAAAATTAAATGAAGACTGGTTATTGTTCTTGCTTCAAAGTAATATGTGGTAAATCTTGCTTTTCTGTTCCAGAAACGWGAAGGCGAATTCAAAGACGAATATTCGAAGACGAATATTTTTTCATACAGCACACAACAGCGACCGAGAAGTGCGGACTCATCGAGCGCTTACTAAAATTCAGCAATGAAACTAGCTTTTAAATTTAGACGAAGTTTCAAACCATTATTGGCGAATACAGAGAAAGGCAGAGAGCCGAAAACTGTCAAGTTCTCAAGTAAAACACCATGAGTCGCCCAGACGTAAAATCGACGATTGGCATTGAAAACAAAGGGCGAGAGAATATGAGAAGAAATACGCCCAATATGATGAAAATTTCTCAATATTCAACGTCTATGAATCTTTTGACTAAAACATATATTTGTACAAAAATATCCAAATGAAAATGCCAGCGACTTATGGCTGGAGAAATTAATAATATATAGAACAAAGACGAAATATAATTTATACAGATAGTAGAATAGCGGAGATATAGTTATCATTGAGTAAATATAAAAAAGAATACCAATAAACTGTATAGAACCTTTGAACAACTGCGTCGAAATTTGAACTCATTAAATTTGAACGAGGTTGTCGCGTTTTCTTGGAAGAAAATCAAAATTTTCAACAATACGAGAAACGAAATTCAAGAATACTACACGCTAACTTTCAGGGAACGGAAGTTGAATTTGGAATATGCTTGCCGGCTTGTCATATTCTTCCGGCGTTCAGAACTTCTTCTTTCACGCAGACAAAAATCGATTTGCTATAAGTAAGGGATGGAAAATCGACTAATTTTCGCTATTTTCGCTACATGAGAACTCGCGCTATTGATTCTTTTTTCTGGGCTAGTCAAGGATTAGGAAATTACTAATGCTTGGAWGTCGGCTTTTCGAAAAAATGGATTCACATTTATGAAAAGAAAAGAAAACTTTTCTTTTCCGATTAATTATTTACGTGAATTGGCGAAAACTTTTCTCGCGATATCTCGAAAATGGCTATTTCCCCGCTCTAAGACAATTAAGAAAGCGAAGC